ACATTTATCAAGAAACGAACCAATCTCCACCAGAGCGTTCATTGCCAATGTCCACAGAAATGTTTTATTTATATCAGAAGTAACAACTGACATCAACTTCAACAAAATACTGTCATATGTGGACTTGGATACTGCAAGAAGGCTCCCAGGAAACGTAGCCAGATTTTGCAGACCCTTCACTGCAGTTCACAAAATGAGTATAACAGGATCATTTTATTTGAAATGAAAAATTGAATCTAATACAAATCCAAACGTACAATGAGTAGGCACTTTTTATAAATCTATCACGATATAAGATAAAACTGCGACTGGCCATCAGCAAAATGGATCATATAATGTACTTTTTTCCCTTTCCTAGTTTCTTCTCCTCCTCCGAAAGAAAAACCAAATTAAAGAAATCAAGAAGTAAGAAAATTATATATATACATATGTCTACATTGCGTGAGGATTCTTAACTCTCTCTCTCTCTCTCTCTCTGTGTTTTCTCGCTTAGGCACGTATTCATATAAACAAAATAAGACAGCTTTGCCTTCGCCTCCACAAATGTATGTAGTGAGCAGAGAGGTAAGCAAAAACTCAAGTATGTTGGGCATGCCAAGGCAGCGTTTTAAATTTCTGCTTATTACAATTCTAATGATACTGAGTAAGTAGGCATGAAGGGACAGAGGAGATACACAACAGGGACATAATCCTCTTATCCAAGGACCAAGTTTCATTCCAAACTTCATGAGACTTTTCTGGGAAATCAAAACTAATTAAGATTTTTAAATTATCATTTTAAAAACAAGCCTGCCAGTAAATAATGCTGAAAAACAACTGATAACAGATAAGGGTTACATATAATACATACATACATACATACATACATATATAAATATATAAATATAAATAAATAAATAAATAAATATATATATACCCTTTGGGTTTCAAAAGTCAGTCTTAGTCATGAACCTTTTTCTCATTTCAGAAGGAGAGAACAATATATAAAGTCGATAAATCAGCAGAACAATCATCTCTTAAGATTTAGGTAATGTTCAGATCTGGCATGGCGACAGACTTTAAATACATATGCTCGTCTAAATGCCCATATTATCAACTTTTAATTAGAATATTTTCAACTCTAAAAAAGCAAGTACTCAAATTAGAAATAAACAAACACACACATAAGAAACTAGAAATAAACAAACAAATACATATGAGCACGCAAAGAAGAAACTAACATACTGCTAATATCATGTGGAAAATAATGATTGCACTCAAGAAAATCACAAACCTCCATAGCATACATAAGCATTCTGAGAATTCTCAGCAACATTTGACCTTAAGAGAGAGATGAAGACCATGGCTAATGATTTAGAGACATTGTGAAGCATGACACCCCATGTCTGATTAGCAAAATCAGGAATTGGGGTTAATTCATCAGAGCCCACCAAATATCGGCATGCAGAAAGGACTTCGACGCAGAGATACAGGGCTCCAAAATTAAGTCTGCCAGGAGGATTGTAATCCTCAGCTAGACAGCTATTCTCGTGTGGTTTTGCAACTGAAAGCCCCAAATAAGTCATGAGGAGCGGAAAGAAACTCTCGAAGACCTTATTGCAGGAGGCAATAGAGGTGTTAATACAAACAGATATAATACGTCCAACGGCATGTAATCTCTGTCTGATGTCAATAGGAATATTGTCAAAATCTTCATACTGGTTGAGGGAATTCATGAATATTTTTATATCCTCGTCTTCCAAAATCAAACTTATGAAGGAACCATTACTTTGTTGAACAAGCTCTTGCAAAAGTACAAAGGCCTGCTTCATAATATCACTGTCCTGAAAGCCCATTTCACTCATAAATCCAGCTTCTGTGGATAAATTAGTCTCTGGTGAAACATATGTTGCATCTTTTACTGAAGACCAAAGAGTTTTGAAGTGTTCGGCCATTCTCTCCACTCCATATTTTGATGTGCAATAGCTAAGATACTTAAATGACTCCACCTGAAAAAGATATATAGTAATTCAAATAACTAAAGAACTACCATTTTTCTGAATGCAAGTAAAAGGAGAAGCAGAAATGTAATGGATTGACACCAACCTTTGTCAAAGGCAGGGAGGAAGACAGTTTTTCGAGAAGCAGTGGAATGGAAAATGGTGCAAATAAAGGTGTAGAAGCATATGTCAGCTGAAAGACATTAAAAGGAGTAAGACTCTAATATATGTTAATATTAATAATATTGTAGAGCACCACATTTGCAACATCTACAAAAGTCCAACTATTAGATGAAGTGCAGAATGTTGTTCCCCTCCATTTCTTTCTGACGAAGCATCAATATTATAAGCCAAAACCAATAGGCAGAGGAGAGAGACAGCGCAAATCATTGCAGCTTCAAGAGGTCATTATTTATTCAAGTGGAACGAGCTTCAGCCTTCAAGACCGTTCCATCTTCTTATTCCACGGAAGGCAGGAAAGATGGGGCCGTGTACATTGCAGGACATTATCAAACACAAAACTTTAAATTTTTTCTTAATTCTTCAGTGATAATTACAAATAATTTATATTCTTGCATGTAAAGATCCAATGCAATTGCAAAAATTCAGTTTGTGCACAGCCAAACAGCAGGATTGGATTATCACTGATACTGATTTAGATGGTCAACTAACTAGTTCCAGCAAGACTCTTAAGCTTAGATCCTTTTTTTGATATACCGTGCTCGATATAAACTCTAAAAGAGACTATTTGCAACATGATTAGTGATTACATCCAACATATATTGAACATCTGCATAAATTGCATTGTAGAACTATCCCTCCGATGTTTCCCTGAATTCACAATTGCTTGATTTGCTTTTTGGGCTGAATGCTTGATGTGCTAGTTTTACACTATGCATGGCCATTGTTTGTTTTGGGGGAAACTGTATTTTAGAATAGTAATTTTTTTTGAGATGTGTGGTTAAAAAATAAGAAAAAGTTTTGGGCTTACGTGTAACATTATTTTATTGAAAAATGTGCGGTTGAAAAGAAGAAAGAGAAAAATGTATTAAAAATAAAATTGAGCCCAAATAGGGGCATATTAATCTGAATGGTAATTCAAAAATTGAAACTTCTCCATACTTTCTATGACATAATGAACTCATAAAGTACAACTTGAAGTTCAAACAATAAAACGGAAAACGAAAAACACCAGATGATTTCAAAAAGTAATCCTCCAGATGTCAGTTCAAATCAAAATTAATTTTTCCCATATCACCATGAAAATTTAGGAAATAGGATAAATTATCTAAAGCTATTACTGGGTAATATTGCAGATCAAGTATTGAAGTTGATAAAATTAAGCTCCGTGACAGCTGCACATAGATCCATTTTTTCCGTTTTCTTTTTGTGAAATAAAATATAATATGCCAAAATGATATCAGAAAGGGACATTTGCAAAATTCTGTAAGGATAATGAGGACCATCAACCCCATGGAAAGTAGAATAGAGATTCAGAAGCAGCTTACAATATAAGGTAGCAAATTACATACCATTAGTGCCCTTGAGAGTTCCCCTCTCTTCACATCAACATCCTCTTCCTTAGGCTGGAGAAGTGGAAGTAGAAAACAATCAACATCAATTGCAAACTTGGGTAAAAGAGCACCCCACTTCTAGCCATATACCCCACAACAGGTTATGAAAACCATTCGTCTCACAATATCTACATCTGATCAGAGAATTTACCTAAGATTTTGGTACAAATAGAATGCAGAACAGAAAGTTTCTTCAATCTCCAAAACAGATGCAAAGAAGGTTATTTTAGCATTGTCAGAATAATTTAAAACAAAATCTGAACTCATCTATGGTTTAGCTTGAAGAAGTTTCTGCTGGAAATGCACAATTGCACACACAATAATGACATATACAAAGTAGATTAGTGGAAGAGTTAAGAGATCTAACGTGTGTAAAATGTATGGGGAAGTAACAGCCCAAAATTCCAAACAGGTCCCCAGCAAAATCTGCTAGCGGACCAGAAGGGCCAGGAAACAATCCGGCCAGAATTTGTACTATACGAAATGAGAGCATTAAGCATTGAGGATCCCTCTCCCCATCAATAGCTTCACAGATTCCATATATAAGGTTATCACCCTGAAACACACAGCGCAAAGCAATCGATAATAGACTTGAGTACAAACAGTCACATTAACGAAGTAACAGTTGTACATGAATGCTCTATGTTCAACTACCATTACAATACTAGTTGAACATAATTCAAGTCTCCAAAGCAGTTCTACTTACAAAGAAGTTGTTGATTGGAATTCATAAAGCATAAATTTCACTCACTGCTGGCCTAACGCGGTTGTTAACGAACGGTTAAAGGAGATCATAAACATCTAAGTAAGATTATCAAATCACTGGAGTGGAAGCAATGTGTAAACGTTACATGTCCAATGTGAATACGAACACTACTTTCACCCCCTCACACTAACTTCTATCAACTGCTGCTAAACAATTTCCCTGTGGAATGCCATTAGCTTTTCCTGCATTAGGTCTAAAAGGAAATTATTTTATCTCCTATTTTGCTTCTCATGCTAAAATGTAAAGATAGACAAAACTTATTCAGGCCAACCTACGATATGCAATTATAAGTATTTGGCAAGTCCAAAACATTATGTCAACAAAACACAACCATCAAAAACAAGAAGAAAGATAATAGTAAGAATAGTAATTACCAAATCTCTAACAGCAGCAGGGTAGCGATCTAATAGGCATTCCATAAGATGAAAGCAGAGCTGCAAGAAAATTAACCCATAGCAGAAATTAACAAGATTTAGTTAGCATTTAACACTAGAAACAAGGTTTGCCTTCAGCATCAACAGTGGGTTCATATTAGGATTTACCTTCCTATCATGCTGACCCAAGGACTGCACCTGCAGGTTTTGGAGATAAGATTGAACAACAGCCTTCACTTTATCATCAGCTACCACACCAACATGACTTTTCCTCCTCAATAAGGACAAGCAACCAACAATTGCACCACGTAATGCTTTCCAATCTGCCTGTGTGGGGAAAAAAAATTCATCTATCTCTACAATGATACAACAAAATTTCAGGTGACAAAAATATAAAACATCACCTTCTGTGTAACATGTCAAAGATAAGCAAAAATAGATTATACAGAGTTTCTGTAGCCTATCAAGGCCTACTATACGGGGTAAACAGATTCTGTAAAACCAAGTAATGATGTAACCATAAGGATCTTTTTCAGAGCACGAAACAATCGTTATGGTAACCATTATAAGGCTTTCTAGAAGGGACAAGCAGAAGAATGACAAGTTATCTGTCGCTAGAAAAAAAGCAATTGATGAAACACACTCTAGTTCTGTCACTCCACATTTTGCAATCCATTACTTATGAAGAACTTTAAATGCAAAATACATGCATATCCATATCTTCGCCATTTTTCACTATCCCTTATCACATCAACATATGTGAAAGGCCTGCACTTAAACCATTACTCAATATGCATCAATCAATATTCGTAGATAAGGTAAGAATTGGAAGTTTTTGTGGCTACAGAAAAATTGATTCCCAACTGAAGAATGGAAAAATCATGAGCCATTTGAAGCCGCAAAATATCCATCGGCATAAGAATGTTACAGTTGGAAAATTACTACCATAATGAGCCCATATGGATAAATGATAACCTGTGTATAGATAGGTTAAATCAAGTATCATGCATTTTGCCTAAGCAAGATTTTGTGTAAGCCTCGATGCACTATGAGGCGTAAGCCTCAACATCAAGAATAAGATAGTTCAAAAGATGTAAAATAACAAAACTTGTACTCATAGTAAACAATAAATCATTTAAAAATCCACAATAAAACATTTCAACAATGTTGAGTTAAAATCTAATTTGCTACTGAAGACATAAAATAGGTTAGAGAAACGCATGTGCTCTTCACTCTTCTTGAATCTCCAATTCCTCTTGTTTGTAGCTTTTAGCGTTGCATAGTGTTTGAAACAAATCAACACACTTGAAACATTCTGGAAGATGAAAAAGGCCAAATCAAGCCTGGAGTAAACCCATTTTTAAATGCATTATCTTGTTCATTCCTTCTCTTCTTTCCTTAGAACTTGTACATAATAAATTTTATCAAGATTAACAGTAAGACATGCCAAAGGCACTCTTTTTTATGGAAAGCAGAGAAGATGAATAACAAATTATGTGAGCAATAACTGGAAAAACATATCAAATAAATAAAGTATGAGGTTAAATAATTCCCATTAAATAGAAATTATATGAAATTACTGCATAATACATACAAAAGATAAACCGCATGTCTATCATTTATATCTTTACGTACTAGTCTTTCAGTGAAGAATCCTATCAAGCTCTCTATTGAAGCATCATTTAGACGCTTTGATTTTAGTTGTGTCAAAAGTTCCGCAAGGAGGAGAATTCCTGAACAAGGACATGAAAAATGCAAAGAGTTAAGTCAAAGAAGCAATATTTATGATAACTGAGTATAAAAATTTATAAAAAACAAAGATCTCCAGAATTATAAAAAAATGGGCAATCTTGAGCCAAATCATGCGGCAGAATCTAATGCCTGTCTTTGAATTGAGCGCTATAATAAAGTGCAAATACGAGCTGCATTTCTAATCCTTCCACAAAGAACTGAAAATAAATCAAGAAAAGGATAATATATAATCCAAGCCTCCGATACAACCCAGATGTTCATGGAGTGCATAAGAGGTGCGATGCATTACTCAACGTGATATCAAGTGCTTGGTTGTAGGTAATACAGGCCCCACCGTTTGTGCACAAATGATGCATTGTGAATACCATGACCATCGTGAAATACAGAATGAAATGATGAGCGCTGCTGCCAACTAAATTATTTTTGGCAAATATGTCCTTGCTTTTGTAACATGAAACAACCTAAATATTCCTTCATATAAATAGAAGAAACATACTCTGAAGAAAGCCCTAGCTTGCCACAATTTCAACTTTTAATATAAACCAACAAATAGTATAAAAGAGAAAGTAATAAAATTTGTCCATGATTTACTTCTCTGAATACCCCATCTGGACATGACGTATACATGCTAATTCTATACCCAAAACCAAAAATGCCCTCAAATTAGGAACCTGTCATCATGTGCATATAATCATGGGATGACTCATCTTCCACGAGACGTGTGAAAAATAGGTCTCCATCCAGCTGAATTTGTGTAAATATCATTGATCACCATGGTGTTCTCAAAATCACCCGAGGCTTACACCTTGATGCCCACTGCCCATATGAGGAATTCAATAGGAGCCTCAAAGCCTTTGCTTTGAATGCCCTATGTCAAGGATAGCACTTTTTAGAGGTGTTTTTCTAAAGCAAAACATATTAAAAGGTTTCTGGGATATTTTGAACAAAACAAACTCTAAAACTAAGAAGAAAATAAAATTGAGATTAAAAAAGAGAACATGCAAAGAGTATGCACCCTAGTCCTTTACTCCTGCAACTGAAGTGTGATGCCAAGTGAAGTTGCAAATTTTCATTGGCACGCTCAGAAATATACTCCTTGATAAGCGGAATGCAAAAATAATATTTAATCGTCATTCCATTAAAGATACAAAGATCAAAGTACCTCGTGAACGGATTGTGCTATCTGTAGTAGTCAAGTACATCTCCATTTCTCTAACCTGCGCATATTGAACAGTAAAATTCATTACAGAGAAAAAGGTACACAGAGAAAGAACTTAAATTGAAAAAGGAAGAATCTTACAAGTGCTTCTAGAGTTAACAGATCATTCTTTAGCAAATTCGCAATTGCATCGACACTTGCTGCCTGTAAAAAACTCAGAACACAAATCATCAAAATTTTAACAAAAAAAGCTGATTAATTATTGAGAAAATAGAAAACTGGGTTAAATTGACACGCGCAGTCTGAAATTTTTTTGTTTTTAATTCTAAAAATCAGGAGAAAAAATGAGGGTTCTTTTTTGGCTTAATCTGTAATTAGTTGGAGAATTGTGGAGAGATAACCTGTTGAGCAGCGGTGCTGGACGAGTTAACATACAACTCGACATGCTTCACCCACTGAGTTGGATCGGCCATGGTGCAAGAGTTCGTGAGAGAAGAGAGAATGGGGTTTAAGGGTTTTTCCCCGGACCGGGGGGGAATATTTGAAGCCTCTACCAAAATTTCTAGATTTATTTAGGCCCCGTTTGGTAGTGATTTTTTGCTCCAAAAAATTGATTTTTTGACCGTTATTTTACTATTCAAACCGTAATTTTTGACTTTTTCTCTCACATGTGGACCCCACTTTTCTTCTAACGGTCAAAAAATCAATTCTCAAAATCCCTACCAAACGGGCCCTTATTTATTTATTTGGGAAAATTTCATAACTAAGAAATTAATTATGGCACATTTTAAAAATAAGAAAATAAGTTTCAAATTTCTAAAATCAGATTTTTATTAACAATTATTTATAATTTAATTAGTTAATTAATTATTTTATTAATTAAATATATTTAAACCACAGACCTATACAATTTGATCACAAATTAACAATATAATTAGTTACATATTATTTTTTGGTCACAAATCAAAAAATTTATGTCACGAATTTTTTTACGATCACATTTCAAAAAATTTGTAAGTCACAGTTTGTTTATTGGTCACAAATTTTAAAAATAATTAGTCATGGATTAATTTTTAGTCACGACTTATCATATTATTGGTCACAACTTATTTTTCAGTCACAAACACAAATTTTATAGGTCACATATTATTTTTCAATCACAAATCAAAAATTTTATAGATCACAGACTAATTTTTCAATCACAACTCAATAAATTATAAGTCATAAACACAAATTTTATAGGTCACATATTATTTTTCGATCACGAATCAAAAATTTTATAGGTCACAGATTAATTTTTCGGTCACAACTCAATAAATTATAAGTCACAAACATAAATTTTATAGGTCACATATTATTTTTCGATCACGAATAAATTTTTTTATAGGTCACAGTTTGTTTATCGATCACAAATCAAAAAATTAATTAGTCACGGATTAATTTCTAGCCACAACTTATCAATTTATTAGTCACAACTTATTTTTCGATCACAAATCAAAAATTTTATAGGTCACATAAAATTTTTTATAGGTCACAAATTATTCATTAGTCACAAAATCAAAACTTTTATTGGTCACAACTCATATATTCATTTCAAATTATTAGATTAATTGGTCACGATTAATTTTTAGTCACAGCTTATCAATTTATTGGTCACAACTTTTTTCGATCAAAAATAAAAAATTTCATAGGTCACATATTATTTTTGGGTCACGAGTAAATTTTTTTATAGATCACAGATTATTCATTGGTCACGGAATCAACTTTTATTGGTCACAGCTCATTTATTCATTGTAAATTATTAAATTAATTGGTCACGGTTAATTTCATCGGTCACAAACCACCAACCACCATTTCGGCCACCAGCTCATCGCCACCATCGTCGCCATCACCGCCACTACAACACCATCACCGCCGCCACCACCACCACTTCTCGACAATTGGTCACAAACCCCCAAATAGTTGATTACAAACACTTTCATACCACACCACCAACCACCACCAACACACCATTGCCACAGTCATGCTGCCAACTGCCATTGCCATCGCAAACACTACCACCACCACTATCACTGTCGCCTCAGTCATCATCAACCAAAAAGCACCCTAAAAACCACCTTCACCACCAACCGAAAAACCACATATCCATAATCAAAACCAAAATAACTGGTTTTGAACCACAAAAGTAACCATAGATCCAAAACGACCTCCACCATCGACTCAGCTATCATCGACCAATAATCACTAATAGAAAACACACCTACCTAAGCAAATGAGAGAATGAAGAAATCACCCAATCACCCCCAAAAACAGTGTCTCTGTAGCCTCGTTTATTGCCGAAAAACATACCTAAACCCTAAGCACCACCACCTCGCTACCACAGCCAATGTCAGAACCATCATCGAGAAAGTAACGACATAGCGATCTGCGCGATCTGAGTCACATCTACACCGTGCTTACCCAGCGCAGCAACGCTGCGATGTGCCTCATTACTCGCAACGTCGTCGTCTACAGTAAGGACTCTGTAGCCTTCGACAACAGCAGCGCCATCTTTCTGCGCGCCGGTGCTTCCTCAGTGATGCACCGGATGAGGGGAAGGGAGGAAGGCCATCGTTGTGGGGGAGAAATGGAGAGAGAGAGAGAGAGAGAGACGAGAATGCGGAGAGGCTTCTGTCATTTGGGGGTTGGGGTGGGAGTGAGTATATCAATTTAATTTTATTAGGGTCTGGAATTTTGGTAAATAAAAATATTGATTAAAATAAAATTTCTGATTTTTGAATTGTTAGACTTGCCATCTGATTTTAGAATGTTGAATTTTTAATATATGGTTTTGTGTAATTTTGCCCCCGTTTTGAGCCCATTCTTTAGAAAAAAAAAACAATAATAAAAAAATATATATATATATATATATATTTTTTTTTTTTAAACAGTATTTTCACATCATTTCAATTACAAATTTTTCGATAAAATAATATTACACACAAATTCAAATTTTTTTCTTATTCTCTAACCATAATTTCCCCATCAAAACACTATTCAAAAATACATTTTTATGAAAAGAATGGGGCTCATTGTTTGTTTCTCATTCTTTCCACGTTAAAATGAAAAATATTACTATTATCTATCACATCAAGCCACCAAATTTAAATTTCTATCTCTTATGTGAGGTTCATAATCGTTATATTTTTCAGTCTCATTTTTACAAAAATGGGAAACAAACGCCTCCTAAGCTATGGCCTCAAGGGTATTATGGTCATTGTAAATGATATTTTTTCTTTTGAGTAATTATATTATCGTTACAAAACTTAAGTTGCATTCGATTGTCAATATTTTTCATGGAAAATGTATTTTTTCATTCAAATTCTTACTTTTGTACTATTTGATTATCATTTTTTCCATAAAAAATATTTTTCTACTTTTGGTCACATGATCATATTTTCCTCAAAATCAAGAAAAATATTTTCTTTGGGGGATATGATTTTGTTTTCTCTCTCTCATTTATCCACTTTCTCTTATCTATTCACCATAAAAAATGGACATGTATAATATTTTCTATATTGAAAATTAAATCAATCAAAGAATTAAATGCATTTAATTGACAATTTTCATGCAAATAATCGGCAATTAATTTACCTAAAATTTATTTTATTTTCATGCAAATTTCATGTTTGGAATCAAACCCACCCTCATTTATTACACCACAATTTTAATTTATGGGTAATTATATTCACACTATAATTTTTTATTTTTTGCACTACATTTTAATTGCACTTAAAGTTTTTAATCTTTGCCCATTATAACATATATGTTATCAACGATTTTTCTTGCGAAAAAATATTTTTCTCTTATTTCAAAGCATGAAAACAAAAATTTGTCATAAATCATTATCAAGGACCAAGCTTACTAATTAATGGAAGGTTGAAAATAATAATTCGACTAAAAAATTTAAGGAAATAATTATTACAATGATTAATGATTGAAGAGCTTAACTGCAATTAAAATGTGGTGTATGAAATAAAAATTTGTAGTGACAATATAATCACGTTTAATTAATTTATTTATTTACTTAAATGACCTTAAGTGGAATTTCGTAATTGCCCATAATTTTATATGAATTATTAACATAAACATTTTTATGAAGACACCATGCAACAAATAATTTTACCAAGTTTTCTTTCTACGCATATGCCTACAATCTCCCTGTTAATTTCTTGTTTAGATAATATTCTACGATAGTTATAGCAGCAGAGTATCTTATTCGAGTTCTTCTAGTTGCAGGAAGACTCAATCTAAAAGAATAAAATTAAAATATAAAATGAACCAACTTCCAAGCATCAAGGATTTTATTTGAAAAACTAAAACATTAGAGGGAAATGGGCTAATGTAGATCATTATTAGTGCTTGTTTGTGCCCCGTTATTTGTGTGTCATGTATTATGGAATAGTGATTAATGTTGAAATGTATGGTTAAAAAATAAAGAAAATATTTGATTTACATGTAATATTATTTTAATGAAGAATGTGTGATTGAAAATGAGCACTGTAGAAAAAATAATATGATAAAACGTGGAAGAAATGAAGACAAACAAAGCCTTAATAGGTAAAGCCAGCAGTTTGGTCCCATTTATAGGCCTATAGGAAAACAGTCAAGCTTGTGTACATCCTTTTTAACGGTTTCAAAAAAAAAAAAAAAAAAGTCTCTTCATCCACTATATTTTTTTGTCAACACATTGTTCTTAAACAAAGTTGTCAAAGTGAAGGTACAAGTGGTAAAATTCATAGGAAAATGTTATCAGATCGTGTATACTTTAGTATTCGTATTAATGTGCAAGTATGGTATTATATATGAATGGACAAGAATCATGAACAAAGTTCTGAGGGACATTTGTCTATATTGTAATATAGCATTGTTTGAGCCACATTATTTTCCTTATAATAAATTTTTGAATAGTGTATTAATAAAAAATGTGTGGTTGAAAAATAAAGAAAAGTTTTGAATTTGAGTATAATATTATTTTATTAAAAAATGTGTGGTTGAAACAATATCAAATCAATGTTTAAGAATGTTTCTTTTTTTTTTTTTTTATAAATGTGGCTCAAACATGCCCATAACTATGAAGCTCGATTACTTGACTACTCAAAATGACAGAACTCCCATTATAAAGATTGAATGGAGAGAAACTATAGGTTGTTTACAGTCAAACCTTCTAATCAAAAGTATGTCCCATCTACAACACAATTTACACGATAATACCTCAAGGTTTCAGTAAAATTTATTTGGCATTTCTTCTAAATTTCCTTATCTTCTTTTGTTCTTGTTTGAACAAAAGCATATAAATGGAGCAAACACGGGAAAGAATGAAAGATAAGTATCACAAACAAAGGAAATGATGATATAGATCAGCATTACATCCAAAATTCATTCGAAGGCCATCCATTATTAATGTGTTTGTGTGTGTATATATATATGAACAAGAGATGCCAACAATATTTCTCTCTACCAAGTTTTTGTTTTTCAAAATTCCAGAATTG